TATGTATTATCGCTCACCTCTTAAAAATTTAGAGAGTTTATCTTTATTGATAATTGTTTATCTGTTTAGAAATATCTATTTTGGGTTATCGGTGGAGGATGGCTTCGAGTGTTGTAGAAATTACATGTGAATTAGGAGAATTGAAACTATTTTCTCATTCATTTGCATTGAGCATTATTTCATGCTTATACATTGGAAATGTTTATCGTTTTGAGAAATATGGGTGAATCTGGGAAACATGTATTGTAATGTTGAAGTAAGTTGGCCTAAGTGTCCATGGTGAAAGTCCTAAAAACCGCGCGTATACATGGGTGTCAATCCCGTGGACAAAATTTTCGTGAAATGGCAATAGTAGTGCTTGTATAGCCTACATTTACATAGGTCCCGATTTATGGTTTCCTCTGGATGAATTTTCCAGAAAAGGTTGTATTGTTTTGAAATTCTCCGAGCGTGATTCACTGCCCTATCTTTCTATTCTAGAGGAAGTGATTTATGATATTATTTTGGCATTGCATAATTTTGGAAAGAGATATAAAAATGTTTTGGCACGAGCATTGCGTATGCTTTCATCTTATAGCTTTGTTAAGATTAATATACTGTGCTGGATTATTTTTACTGGGCTTTGGCTCACCTTACATGGGAAATACATTTCAGGTGCTGATGATATGCCTTCGCTAAGGCAATAGCTTGGAAGGACTTGGAGTGAAAGCTTCTTTTGTGTATTTACTGTATTTATTTTTGTACAAGCCAAGGGCTTTAACTGTATTGGACTTAAGTCCATTTTTGTTGTACCCAAGCGTTGTCTTGGAAAGATGTAAGCCTTTAGGGCATTTCTTAACTGTCTAACTTTCCTTTTGTCTCTATATTATATCATTCTTTTGTAAAGCTTAATTGTAAATCAATGAAATATTATGATCAGTTATTGATGTTGAGTATGGGTTATAGCAATTATTTCGAGGCGTTACATTCTTCACCTCCTTTAACAACTTCTCATCCTCCGACATTGAAAAATCTATATATATGAAACGATCTTTAAATAAAAACAATGTTAGAGAGAGAAAGAGAGCGGGGAGATAGAGTATTCTGGTTTTCTCTGCCAAGTATCAGCGAGAGAGCATTGAAATTGGAGTTAAGATATGAAAATTGGAGTTGGAAGAATGCAAAGAGATTACAGAGATAGGGGAGAGAGAGACAGAGAGAGAGAGTTGAGTGGGTTAGTGGTACAAAAACGGGAGAGGGACCTTAAGCTATTTTTTTATTTATTTATTGTGGATCTCTTTTATTATCAAAAGTTGGAGAGAGATGTTAGGCACATAGTATTTTTCTAGAATTCTTATTTTTTAAATAATTAAAAAATCTTCAATTGGCTAACATTTATTGAATCATTAAAAAAAAATCTTATGTGAGAGGGCAATTTTTGGGAAAAACTGGGCCGAGCTGCGAGTTGGGCTTTAAGGCCCAGAAAAGCGAAGGATTAAGTAAAAAAGGCCGTAATGGTTACTCCGGCCTAAGAGAGACAGAGTTACTCCGGCCCAAAGGAGGTGGAATTACTTCAGCTTACGAAGTAATAGAGTTACTTCGGTTAGAGGATTGTAAAGTACTTCGGTTTGGGGAGCAACGTGGAGTTAGACCGGCCTTAGAGGCATACCGGTTTGAGAGTTATGCCGGTCGAGTCAGTGGTTCGGTCCGAACATACCACGGTTCAGGTATTGAAGAACCGAGATATGATAGCATGAAGAAGAACCGAACAACTGTTAGTACGGTCTACTTGGTGGCTCGGCATAGCCATTTTCACTTCGGTCAAATAGAAGTTCGGCCATAAAGAGAACCATCCCACTTGGTTTAAGCAGTGGGGGAGGGTGTGAAAGAATAAGCATTATCCTTAGGAGAATGAATCCTAGGAGGACTCTGCATGGAGGAGTACAAGTCCTACTAGGATTGTGCCACGGGAAACTTATAAAAGCTCACAAGCATCACCTTGGAGGAGGTAATTGAACACAATCTTTCTGAGAACTTAGAGCTTTGTCTATTTGTCAAGTTATCTGACTTAGGCATCGGAGAGGTTTCCGGCACACACCCGCCGGCTAGCTCACGTTTGTGGTTTTCAGGTGACAAAGCGACGTCGTACGGAGAAGCGTGGACTTGGTCAACAGGATTATACGAGGAGAATTATTTCCTCCCCGTACATTTGGCGCCGTCTGTGGGAATAACAGACAAGAACAAAAACCTCTTGACTAAGCTTCTCCTTTTCTCGTTCAATGGCACACATTGAAGACTTGTCGCAGTCCGCCGTCGACGGACTAACTCCAGAGGGGGGCGCAAGGCGTGAAGGATTACCCTCTGTCCCTCCTATGGCGGATCTGGAGCCCCAACAACATAACTCCAGGAGGGGTGGCAGGGGAAGGCGGAATAGCAGCCCTCGTCACTCTCAGAGTCCTGACAGGCAAAGGAGGAGGATTGATCCTCAAGCCCTGGAAGATCGCGTAAAGGAACAGGATGAACTAATTCGAAAGATGGCGGCGGACATGGAAGCATTAAAACGCCAGATGAAGACTAAAGATGTGGCCACAGGAGAAGGGCGCAAGCACAAGACGCCCCCTCGCCACTCAGAAAGTCGTAGTAGGAATACTACACCCTCCCAAGGAGAGAGCAGAAGCCTCAGGACAGGCGACACTCACTCCTTATCTTCAAGAACTCGTCA